GTCAGTGCTGAGGGAGCGCCGCACTGTCGCAGGGTCAGTGCTGAGGGGGTGCTGCACTGCTGAAGGGTCAGTATTGAGGGAGCGTTGCATTTTCTAGGGTCAGTATAACATTACAATAGTAATCAGAGTTGCAGATTACTGAAGTTGTAAGGGACATTATGTAAACGACTGTGCAGTATAAATTTTGCCTACATTGGGGTTTTAGGGCTGACCTGACAGAACATGATCCAGGAAAACAGGCAAGAAGAGTTAGTTTGACCCTCAATGATCTGTGTAGGTTCAGGGTATTTAGGTTTGATGCAAAGTTGTATGTGCCTCGCACGGCTGTGAAACTTGTTTCTGTGATGTGTACTTACTCCATGTACAGGGAGTAAAATTACATTGAGTTTACTGCACAGAAACAGTCTATTCAGCCCAACTGACCCATGCTGGTGTTCGTGCTTCACACAAGCCTCCCTCATCAATGTGTAGTGCAGTGGTAGTGTCCCTATATCTGTGCCAGAAGAACTGGGTTCAAATCCCATCAGGTCAATTAAAATAATTATAACCTCGCCTCTCCCTCCACTTGAAACTACTACATTATCATAGAATCCCTACAGTGTGGAAGCAGGCCATTTGGCCCATTGAGTCCATACCGACCCTCTGAAGGGCAGTCCACCCAGGCACATCTCCCTACCCTATCCCATAATTCTGTATTCCCCATGGCTAATCCATCTAGCCTGCATATCTTTGGAGGAAACTGGAGCACATGGAAGGAACCTGCATAGACAAGGGGAGAACATGCAAACTCCACACAGACTGGAATCGAACCCGGGTCCCTAGCACTGTGAGGCAGCAGTGCTAACCACTGTACCACTGTACCACATTAACCTAGGCACAACTGGAATCAATTAGGGATTGCTCCAATCTTACCTTAATAAGGAACATAATTGGATATAGTAGCAATTGTAACTGAAAGATATAATTATTTCTGTAATAGATTTAAAACGATTATTAATAGAGTATGCCTAATGGTGTGTTGAAAAAGTGTCATTGATTAGTATGTAAATTAATAATTCTCCTGTGGGTCTCCAAGTAATTGTCAATTTTGCAATGGTATTTTTCCAAGGCAATGGGATCCTGATGCCACTTGCTCTGAATTTCCTCTTCATTCAATAAAAAGCAGGTCATGGTGGGGCTTTTGTGGTGCAGTGGCAGTGTCCATAACCCAGAACCAAGAAGACCAGGGTTCAAGTCCCATCTGCTCCAGAGGTGTGTAATAGCTTCTCTCTGAACAGGTTGATTAGAAAAATAGGCAAAGAATAAAAGCCTCTTCATTGGCCAGATATTCACAAAAGCAGATTTGAACAGTCAAATACAGTAAAGCTACTTACCCGACACTGAAAATCAGAACCCTCTTTTCCCAGGCACCCAGATGTGATGACATAGCCTCCAGTCTCACCTTCTTCCATTATTGTGAAACAGTAGCCATCTGTTCTGAAGACAAAAGAGTGAATCTCAATGAGTCCATCTCAACCTGCAGATCTCCCTATAACCATTTAGGAACCCATACAAAGTAATCAGGGTGGCATACAAACACACAATTATCCCTGGGACGGTTGGGGTGGAATTAGAATTAGATTGAAAATGCTGACTTTCCAATCAGTGGCAGTTATAGGATAGGAAGAGACTGATTTAACCCATCTTGTGCTAGATCAAGTCTATTAGGCAGCATAGGCCAAAATCTCTGATGTTTGGAAGGCTGAGAGATTATCGCATTGAAAATTCTTACCATTTTGACAAGGTAGACATTGAAAAGCTGCTTTTCCTGCATGGAGAGCTTAGAACTAGGGTCCAGAGTCTCAGCATCAAGATGGATTTTCCATGACAATTGGCAATAGATTCATGGTTATCATGAGATTCCTAATCTCAGATTTTTTTAAATCTTGAATTCAAATTCTACCATCTGCCATGGTGAGATTCAAACCCAAGCTCCCAGAATATACCTGGGTCTCTGGATTAATAGTCCAGTGATAATACCACTAGGCCATTGTCTCCCCTTATTTTAATGGCCTTTAGCTGATGACTTGTACAGAGGGTGAGCTTCAGTAAAGTTCTGCCAAGTTTAGAAGCAGACACCAGAGATGTGAACTTACTTGCAAGTGTTGTTAACTGACTCTTCAGGACAATGATGGTGACAGTGACACCACAGATCCTTCTGAGGCGATGTGGACATGGTACTGTCAACATATCCCTTCTTGGTTTCAACGCTGAGTTTCCCAGTGCTCCTTAACAACATGTTGTCGAGACGGTTACCTGTAAGCAATGATGAAATCATTAAGGCTGTAAGAGGCCGTGGTCAAGCATCAGCACGTCAAAAAGATCCCAACACAGGCAAAGGGGAGGTATTGAGGAAGGAGGCATCAGTCTACAGGTCTCAAGAGTGCCTTCCTGTCACAGATCTGAGAACCACAGTACTCTGATCTCAGAGTCAGGCAGGCAGGGCCACAGTAATACCCACTGCACATCTTCAACCTGTCTTACAGGCTGATATATCAATGCAGCATTTACGACATTTCTGAAAACCCACCTCAAGATCAGACTTTTGGACACATGACATAATATCTCCTTGTGTGGGTCAGTGTCAAATGTTACTTTGTAATGCCTCTTGTGATCAAGTTCCTACATAATCGAAGTTATTGTTACATACTCTAAAAGTCACTTCTACCATCATTATATGAGCTCTGAAAATGACACCGAAACTCAGCTGGAGAAACCCAGCAGGTCTGGCAGCATCTGTGAGGAGAGAAACAGAGTCAATGTTTCAAGATCCATATGAACCTCTTTAAAGCCAGGAATCATTTACCTCTTTTTCATTTAAACAGTTTTGAGTCTCCAATGCTTAGAACATCATAGTAGTATAGTCCTGGTGAAGGGTCTAAGCCTGAAGGGCCTAAGCCTTGTGCAGTGGAAACCCATTTACAGGCATGGAAGCAGCAAGGCGCTAGGTTCATGATGACTAGTTGCATCTTTTCCTTGGGCAAAGTGAGAGTCACAAGGAAGCAGAAATTTACTCAGGCTATTAAAACATTGCCTTCCAAACCCATGATCACTGCCATGTAAGAGGACCAGGGCAGCAGATACATGTGAACACCACTATCTGCAAGTTCCCCTCCAAGCCACTCACCATCCTGACTTGGACGTATATCCTTGTTCCTTCAGTGTTGCTGGGTTAATATCTTGGAATCCTGTCTGTAACAGTGTTGCAGGACTACCTACAGCACATGGACTATAGCAGTTCCAAACAGTGGCTCCACACCACCTTCTGCTTAAGAGTAACTAGGGATGAGCAATAAATTACAGCCTTGAATATGATGCTCATGCCCATGAAAGAATAAAACAATTCCAGTAAAAACCTTTTAGTGAGTTCTAAATAGATATTTAACAGCTGTACTCTGTTATCACACTAGATTCCTCATGACACCCTATAGCAGCTTATTATCCACAGGAAAAATACAAAAGCAAAGTTAATGCTTTATGGGAAGAATTAAAAATGTATGCACTGTACTATATTACCCTACATTTGTTTTGCAAATAAGAGTGAATGTTTGAAGCAAATGTTCATATTAAATTAATGAGGATCATACATAAATCTGCCCATAAGAGTTTTCTAAGGTCACTGAAACAGAAATAGCTTTTGCCACAAAGGTTCGATTTTATTGCTGGTTAATAGCGTTGATCAGTAAATGCTGTTTTCATACAAGCGATTATACTGATTTGTAACAAGGGGTAAAAGACATCAGCTGGCTTAATGCCCAAATGTTGCATTGAAGACCTGCAGAACAGCAACTACTAGACTGAAATATTCCAAGTGCTATCTGGCTCATATCCCATTGCAGCTCTGTTCTAGTCCAAGATGATGTTTTGCGAATTGATACTGGGAATAAGAAGTATTAGCAGGAGCGGAAGTATTAAGGTTAAGCCAAACTCTATGGAAACCCAAAAGAGAATGCATGGAAGAACTGAAATTTCTGGAGAAACTGAATTGTTTGAGTCTTGAGTCTTGTGACCCTTGTTCTGAGGACGGTCGCTGGACTCGAGCTCGACCTCTCTCTCTCCACAGACGCAGCCAAACCTGCTGAGTTTCTCCAGCAATTTCTGTTTTTGTTTTGAAGAAGTGTTCTTTCCTGATGTCCTGGCCATTAGGTAACCCTCAAAAATATATTGTTGTCAGCAATTACTTGCTAATGAGTATGACTGTTCACCTCGGAAATTCCATTTCAGTGGTCGTGGGTTTTGAACCTTTTAATGAGCCCAATCCTAGAGCCCTATGCCTGATCACATATTTGGCAGGTGTTTCTGGGAGGTGGGCTTGGTCCTTGGCTTCAAGATCACTGCCATTCCTTTCTTCAGTTCCTTTTCCATACTCCCTTGTGCTGATGGGTGTTCTCAAAGAATTGTGTCCCTCATACAGGAGCTTCCTCCAAGTGAATTCTTTCTGAATGAGGATCTCTCATGTATTGGCATCTATGTTGTATTTCTTGAGGTAAGTCTACAGGGAGTCTTGCATGCTAACAAAAGATCATCTTGCAGTGATGGGAGTGTGCTGTGTGCAAAGTGACTGCTGTATTTCCACACTCAGAAAGTATGTGCTGACTGTAAAATGCTCCAGATCCTTCTGAGATTGTGAAAGATACTTTATAAACTAGGGCAATCAATGCAGAACCATCACTCCCACCATCACTGATTTGTAGCCCGTAATCTAGGCATTTGTTAAGCATCACGTTGACACTGCCCCCTGAAAGGAGTGGGGGGGGGGGGGGGGTGGTGAGGAGGGGCAGGTGCTACTCTTCAATTAGAAGGCCTCTGATTGGCCAGGAGGGCTTCTATTCTCAGGGTCCTGGAAGAATGCCTGCTGCTGTCTGGTTAAGTGCCTGAGTAGGACATGTTGCAGTTGGCCTTCCCAAATAAGGGCAATATGGGGCTTCACCAGTTTTGCAGCCAGTGGGAAAGACCCCTATCACCTCCGTTAAACATCACCCCTCACCTCCACCCTCCTAGACCTGAACTTCTGGAATTCCCTCTTCATCTCTCTCTCCTCCTTCAAGACTCTGACCAGGAGTTTAGTCAGCTCCCTTAAAACTACCTTCTTTGACTTGATGTCAATTGTTGTCGGAATATAAATTCTCCAAAGTATTTTGGGATGAGTTAAAGTCACTATATGGCACTTGAAGATGGAAGATGTTAAAGTGGAATTTGTTGTGTAAGGGCATTGGAGTAACCTTGTGATGATGTCATGGAGATGCATATCACAAAGTATACATAGCACCGCGTGGGTGGAATTAGAACTCTCTGGAAGAATGCAACGGACTTCAACACACCAGATCTTTACAGTGGTTTCAGAGCACATGGAGGTGAGCGCATGAGAAGGAGAGATTAGTTCTTACCTAATGTATCTACAAGTATATCTCTGATTATCATGTACGGCTGTATTCTAATATGTAATAGTGTTAGTTTGAAGTCTAAACATGAAGTTAGTTTTTTGACTTTGCCTTCTCCTCAGTCTGCCTTCAACCCAAACTCATTGTACGGCATCAAGCCACACAATAAAAGAGGAAATGAACCCACTTTGTGCGAGCAACTGAGGCTTGAAGGTACAATTTACATGCACTTGCAAATTCCTCTTCCAAGTCACACCATGACTTGCAATTCTATCACCATTTCCTCATAAAAAATGAGGTTAAACTTCTGGCACTCCCCGCCTGACAACACTGTCAGTGTACCAACACCACACCAGCTACATTTCGAGAAGGCAACTCTCTACCATTTTCAAGTGCAGTTAGGCATGGGCAACAGGTGCTGATCTTCCCAGTAAATTCAACATTTCATACGAGCCATTTAGCCCATCGTATTTGCATCGCCATTCAACGAGATCATAGCTGTTCTGATCATCCTCAATTCCACTTTCCTGCCTTTTCTCTATAATCCTCAATTCCCTTACTGATTAAAAATCCGCCTATCTCGGCCTTGAATATAATTAATGACCCATCCTCAACTGCCCCTCTGCAGTAAAGAATTGCACAGATACATGCAAGAATTGAAAAAAAATCTTATGAATCAGTGTGCGCTTATAAAATTGCAGAGTGGATGCAGACAAGAATCAATATTAATTACCGTTTGTTCTATTGTCATGAAGTGAAAAAGCAGCTTTTCCTAAAATATCAGGTCCAATCTGTAATTGAAAAAATCCACAGGCCTCATACTGTACTCTCGAATACAGCTCAGTATGTGTGCATTCCACCATTCTGCTTACTGGTATGGATTATCATTACACTGAACAGTAAACACATGACTCACCCCTGGGACATAAAACCCATCTCTCTAAACCCTCTCAGATGGATCACTTCTGTTATAGGGAATGATATTCCAAGTCAAAACTCCTCAATTGACTTCGCAAGCTGTTTTCAGAACTCTGACAAAAGTCCAGTTTCTTTTTATTTTAACTCTTGCCAATTTTCTTTAAGCTTAGCTGTGTTCCATTTAATTCCATTCTTCTAAGGAATCAGTTTTTTTTAATTTCAAAAATATACTCTCTTCATAAAAAATATCTTTATGTGTATACATAGTCACAAATGTAGTTCGGTTCTATACAGTAGCATATCAAGGAAACAGAAACATTGGAGTTTGACTCTATCCAACAAACCAAAGGCATCTTCTAAGGAGTCAGTCCCATGGGAGAAAAGGGGCATATGATGACTTGGCACATCAAAATTCACACCCAAATCCTTACTCTAGCTGTGCTGTTCAACCATGAAAGTGCATTTGACTGTTAAAGTAGTTTTGGAGACTCACAGGATCCTGTGGCACAAAAAGAGGCCATTGTGCCTGTTTGAAAGAGTATTCTGATCTGTCCCACTCCACCCAACCAACTCTTACCCCATCCACTTTTCTGAAGAAGGGTCCCGACCCAAAACGTCAGCTTTCCTGCTGCTCTGATGCTGCCTGGCCCGCTGTGTTCCTCCAGCTCCGCACTGTGTTATCTCTGACTCCAGCATCAGCAGTTCTTGCTATCTCCCACTGGAAAATTTCCTTTTTTACATCGTTATCCAATCCATTTTTGAAAGTTGCTCTTGAATCTATCTCCACCACTATTTCAGGGAGCACACCAACTCACAGTGTAAAACAAAATTTTGCTCCTCTTATCATTGAACTATAAGTTCTCTACAGTTATGAACTTTCCTACAAATAGGAAAAGCTTCTCCTGATTTACTCAGTCAAACCGGCTTGTAATTTTGAACAAATCTAATCAATCTTTT